AAGAAGAACCTTCTTATTGGAAAAATGAACCAAACACTTAAAAAGAAGTTAATAAAATGCTTTTCCTGGAGCACAACTTTATATGGAGCAGAGACTTGGACCTTAAGGAAAAAGGAAACAAACTACCTTGAAGCATATGAAATGTGGTTATGGCAAAGAATGGAGAAAATCAAGTGGACAGAAAAGGTTAAGAATGAAGATGTTTTAAATTTGGTCCAGGAACAGAGATCTCTTTTAAAAACAATACAAAGAAGAAAAAATAACTGGCTAGGTCATATATTGCGAGGAGAAGGATTAATGCGAGTAGCATTAGAAGGAAAAGTTGATGCAAGGAACAAAAAGGAAGAAAAAGAAAAGTATTGATAGATGATATTTTACTAGGCAAAACTTATAAAGAAATAAAAGAGGAAGCCCGAAATAGAGAATGTTGGAGAAGGAGAATTCTATAATTTGACTGCTTTCCACGGACCTGTCCTAGGACAGAACCACGGGTGTAGCCAGAGTTTTGTTGTGGGGGGTCTAGTAGAGGCCAACCTAACACAAAATTGAATTATTTCAAATTATTCATAACATTGGGCACAGTGAACCTTTTTTTTTATTAGTATTCAAAATTTTGAGCTTTAAGTTTTTTGTTGTTTCCAAATCGGCTTAACACTTTTTCGGCTGTGATTTTCTGGGGGGGCACCAGGTTCACTGGGGAGGGCCGTGCCCATCCAGGCTCCCCCCTCGCTACGCCCATGGACAGAACACTCATGAATGAATGAGAAAATGGATTCATAAAAACCGGAACGTATCTACAGTGTTATAGGGGGATCGACTATAATTTCATATCAATAAGGAATGTTTTCCCCTTCCCGTGGGGGAATTCCCCTCTGTGGGGAAGGCGTTCTAGCAGCAGCGGTGTCATTCCTAAATATAAATAATAAATTCCTATTACAAATAATAATAATAATTTATTGTTAATTTAAAATCATCGCTAGGGCGCGCCTAGTGGGCGTTTTAGGCATACCGTTACAGATATATAGTACTGACACGCGATCGATGGCTTATTAGTAGTGTTGCAAGAATAGCCGAATATTCGGCCAAATTATTCGGCTTGATTAACGCACGTACGAAAATTGGCGCGCAAACAGCATTATGACAAGGCCCTGCTCTCCATTGGCCCACTGTCACTACGCTTCGCCAATCGCGTTAATTCTTGACAGTTGTAGCGGACAGACAAGAGCGTCATGGCTGTATGTGATAAATGATGATATCAAATGTGAATAACAATGAAATGACCTACACGTGTAAATAACGGAAAAAAACAGAGAAAGACCGCGAAGTGAAAATAAATATGAAATTGAGTTGATAACATAATCGAACAAGTCGAGGCAGCTAATTGGCACGAAATTCCGGCCGTCAATGCCAAACAATTGTTGTCATAGACTTCGGAAAGCTAAATGCTTGTAATGAGTCACTTAGCGTGCACGAAAGCCTGGGGCCGTTCTGGCTATCAAGCTGTCTCGAATCTGTGAAATCATAACTGTGACTTATACCGACGTCCTATCTGTCTTTTTTCTCCGTTATCACCAGGATGAGTCACGTAATTATAAAATGGGAACTCTACGACGGAAAAGTGACAGACGGATCGAAAGTATCGTGAGCGCGTATTAAGATGTATGCATAGGCATACATGGATTAGAGCAGAGACGGCCCTACCGTAGGGCGAACAGAGCAGCCGCTCCAAGCGCTAAGTCTTAGGGGGCGCCTCAGTGCCGTAACTAGCCATTCCTATGCCCTGTGCAAGAATTTGCAATTAGGCCCCTTAATTAGGTTTGGGAAAATAATAAAACAAATATATATATGCATTTTGGACTCCCCTTCCAAGTGGGCCCTGTGCGAGTGCACCTGCCTAGTTACGGAACTGCTCAGTGGTAAAGAAAATTAAAGGGTATAAATTAGGGGCAGTCAATGGGGCGCCATAATAGGAACTCGCTCCATCCTAAAACTTGCCTCGGGTCGGCACTGGATTAGAGCGATAGAGGAAAGAGAAAGGGAAGAGCAAAGACGATCACTTAAAAAGGATAGGCAGGGTCAGACCCTCAGATGTGCGAGGATTCTCCAACGATAAGCGTGTACGTGTGCTGATCTTTCTAATTATAAATTGTGAATACATGTAACTAATATTATTTTCTTTTTTATTTTGTGCATGTTACAAGTTATAAATAAATATAAACAAACAACACTAACCCAATAACATTAAATCTAAATATCAAAATGATTAATTTACTTTGTTTTTGTTATTTCTTACTCCTGTTTTTAGGTATTCGGCCGAATACCGAATAGTAACCGAATATTCGTTACATCACTAATTATTAGATAATTGGTCGAAAAATTCGTTGCCTTCTAAAACGTCTTTCACCACTTCCTAATGCTTAGATTTAGTGATGTACCGGATCATTAAAAATGTATATCCGCGGATACGGATACGGATCATTAGTGTCTAGATCCGCGGATACGGATACGGATCTCAACTTTCGTACTCAGTCGGCGCTGGTGCGTGTGACCTTGACCGATAGTTGACGCTTTGCGTTAATAACGCGACGTGTTTTGACTTGCACTGCGCGTGTTTTTGTTTATGGTGTAAAAGTGTGCTAAATTAGAATTCACCACAAAGGCAGACAGGATAAAGTAACAAAAGTTGATATAATTTTCCAATTAAGCTATTTCGCGTCTTTATACAGATTCTATTTCGGGGGATTCCAACTTCACGGTACAAACAGTAGCATGCGAAATTACAGCGATAATAATAGTTCGCTGTATCCAAATCACGTGTACAATACAGATCCCGATCGCGACAATATAACCCGGAACCTTAAAACTAACCTTAAACACTAACTTAACACTAATAACAGAAAAAGGGATAGAATTAAGAAGACAGAAAAAATGGTAGATAAGATAGAAATAGGGATATCTGGGGTTTTGTCCCTTTTTTCGGCTTGTTTCTTTATGCGTACTGTTGGGTGGGATAACACACGTCCTTCTCCTATAACTGGCCAGTTCTCTTCTTCAATAATTAGGATTTTTCCTTCCACAGTCGTCAATACGACCTTAAAACAGGATCTTTTTTCTGAACTTATTTCTGAACTATCCGGTCATTGAAAATACGACTCCCAGTATTCTCACCTCGTCCGTACACTCTGCCGTCCGGTTTACGAATGACCTGCTACGTCACTTCTCTTTTTTCTCCGGCTCCTGTTTACACCTTTGCTCCTCAAATTTCTAGGAACTGCTCATCCCACCCAAGGGACAGGGAATAGATAAGAAAGTTCTAGAAGAAAATAGAACAATAGAACAAAGGGTAGAAAGAAGAAACGAAACTAAACTAAAATTAATATTTACAAAAATATAGCGTACCGCCACAATAGTTTAGTGCAGTGTTTCCCAACCTTTTTTGTGCTATGCCCCACCTAAGCCTTTCTAAAATTCTTATGTCTCCCTAACATATACAGCGGCTATACGGTTAACTTAAACTCTGGACAAGTCCATTTTCGAATTGCCCTCCTTAGCAATCCAATTGCCCCCTGTGGGGCGTGGGCCCCACGTTGGGAAACACTGGTTTGTGGCTAGTGTGACACGGGATAGCGTAGATTACGTTTGTGTTTTTGGAGAGTGTTGAGTTAAATTAAAATAAAAACAATGTCGACAAAAAAATTTAGTAGTGTAATATGGAAATATTTTACGATAGTAAATGACGAATGTGCTATTGCTACCTATCTTTAAAATTTCATATAAGTAATGAAATTCATTAAGATAAAAGATCCGTTAAAGATCTGCTAAAAAAGTAACGGATACGGATCTTTTTTTCCCTCGGATATCCGGCACATCACTACTTTGATTGCAATCAGAATAGCATATCCGTTAAGCTTTGTTTACACTGAGCGAATAGCGATTTTTATTCGCTTAGGGACTGAACCGCTTGGCCAAAACAGCGAGAGGGATGTTTACAACAGGCAATGCAACACAGAAATTGGACAATTGACATGTGGAATACAGTAATATTTTCTGATGAAGTAAGTTTTGGATGTGGTGATGGTATTAGATTTGATTTGCCAGATGAGAAATTGATACCAGTTTGAAATAAAACATCAAATTTCCTCAGGGTTGTATGCCATGCAAGGAAACTGGAAAATTGTATATCTTGAAAACCTCAGTTAATGCAAATGTATATTGTAAAATGTTAGAACATTTAATACAATTTTAGAGCAGTTTGATGCAGAGAACACATCTGTACTATTCCAAGATGCCATCATAGCTAGTCTGTAGTCATATTTGTGAAATATTAATGGCCTGGCCTGCTTACAGTTCTGATGTGAACCCAATCAAAATTTGATGAGAGCAAGAAATGTGTTGAATATATGAAGTCAATAAAAAATATTAAACTGCTGGAAAGAAACAATGTTGAATTCTGTCAAAAACTACAGAATCAACAAATACAGCTCTGGGAGATGCAAGTGTTAAATATCCCATTATACTTTTTTTCCCAAGGGGAATTTGAAGTAATGCTTATTTTTTGTACTACTACTACTCAGAATTTTTTTTGTTAAATTCTCATATTCTACTAAAGCTTTGATCTAACTTGTAAGTATTCAATGTACAAGTTCACATTCTGTCAGTTATCAAATGTTTTCTTTGACTATAATAAATTGTTCATAATTCATAACTGTTCTTAGCAAATTATTATACTTTTTTCAGGAGTTCTACGAACACACAAACTGTTTAAAAAGTCCTTTAGCACTAATTTTGAATGTTGTCACTTTGTATGATTTACTGAACAAATTTTAAAAGTTGTATACAGCTAAAAGGTCTCTCAGAGGCTGCAGACTAAGTTCCAGTGCAAAAAATTGACACCAAGAATGTAACTATTTGAATTTAAACACTAACAATTCCAATATTCAGATTAATGCCAAATGACTGTTGGATTACATAGTGCTTTATTAATGTTACTAATTACTAATTAAATGTCAAGTAATTAGTAGCATTAATATAGCCTGATGTAATCTGGCAATCATTTGGCCATGTAACTATTTGCATTGCATAAGTACAATTTCATAAGTTTTTATAAAATTATTATTGTGTAAAAATAATCAGCATTTATCTATATTAAAAAACAATCAATGTTTTAGAATATATTTTATTTTGTGTGCAAAATATTACCTTGAACATTTTTATATAAATTTACAACATAAGAATTTAATTTTTTTCAGATATTGATAATCACATTTAAAAATTAAAATTTAGTTTTTTGCAAATAAATATATTGCTGTCTGCTTTAAACAGTCTCTCCTCTCTCTCTTTTTTTTAATAACTAAGAATATTATTTCATTCATATATAATTCATTTATACAATTTAGATTTTATGTTTAATGTACTTTTTAAAAGTTATTATTTCTATATAAAAATAAAACGCAATATTGCCATACAAAGATAAACTTTTATTCTTTCATAAAATAATCCAATGGTTTAATTCCTTCATTTCAAGTAGCATCATGTCTGAATTTCAAAAATCACATCACAACACACTGTGTGAATGAGAAAATAATCAAAATATGCCAATATTTTAAGAAGCAAGGCAACAATTCCAACCAAGTGATTCAATGAGAATAAAATCTGGTTCAACGATAAAACTGGACATAGGAGCTATATCTCACTCCTCCTGTGGACCCACACGTAACAGCTGACACCACTCCCAGTTTATTTTGGGGGAAAAAAATTTTCTTCAACTATCTAATTTGCTTGCATTCTTGGTATACACACTGACACAGACTGCAAGATCACAAATGTGACCCTCTCGTGAAAGACTAGCAGTCGGCAAAAGTGTCACACCAGTCTGCCGTCACCTGCCGACCACACAGGCATGTCCACATGGTAGTCGTTCACCGTAAACCAGCCGAAACATTGTTTATACTGCCACTTTCCGGACAAGCATGGCTGATGTGTCCAAACTCTCCGCAGTTGTAGCATTTTCTGTTATCCTTTTCTCCATTTGGGCAGTCGCGAGAAATATGGCCTGATTTTCCACAACCATAGCACTGAAACACAAAAGAAACAAAAAATTCTATTATTTTTAAAACAAAATACTCAAAATTTATTAGTTAATAGAAATTTATTTATATCTGTGTTAATATAAATTTAATCCCCATTAATCTGTTAATAAGACATATATTACTGAATTCATAAGAAATGAACAATTTGAATTTGTAAAAATGATCATTTTTTGGGAATATACCATATGAAATAATATACCATATGATACCATATGAAATCTTTTAAATAGTCTCATGACCAATTTCATATGAAATTTAGAGAATTTTTCTTTTGGAATAAGCATTAAGACTCCTCTCTAAGGACATTGTGCAGCTTCTGTATAAAGGTATATAAACTGTGAATATGTTCAGAAGTGCACATTAATTTATGAAACATCTTTGTTTTGTTTTTTATATATTAATTTGTGTATATTAGAAAAGAACCTGGGACATTCTCTGAAACTAAAAAATAAAGGTTAACCAGTAATAATAAAACAGCGAATTTAATTGGCACAGTCAATAGTATTGAAAAAATTGTTAGGATAGGAATTCTTCAGGATAAAAAATGCTAAGATCAAAATCTACTAATTTTAGAATGTTGAGATCTGTACAATTTGACATTCCGAAGCATCAGAGAATGTAAAGTGTTCAAAATAAAAAATGAGTCAATCTCATTTTATTTTTCTCATTCTCACATTATTATTACAGTTGGCTGAAAACCAATAAATGAAACATAAAAGGGCAATGGCTGGCTGAAAACCAATCTAAAGATATTAGTGAAGATAGAAAATTTGAAACCCAAAGTAACAGATACTGCACAACACAGCCAGAATAATGGTTGGTTGAAATTTTCTAAAACTAATGAGAACATGGAAAAGACAGAAGACACGGCATATGGAAATGGTAGCAAATACAAGTTGAAAAACAAACTACAAATTAAATTAAAAACTAAAGAATAAAAATAGTTTCCTCTTGTTTTATCTGTAATTCTATAGTGCTATATGAAGAAACTAGAAGGATTAACTACTAAATGTTTAAAACTTTATTTGCAACTATTACTCTTTCAAGTTATTCAAATGTTAATATGGACTAGTGGAGTGGACAAGATAGATAAATGTTTTAAAAGGATGACATCAGTTATACCTCAAGCTAGATGAAACGCAGTTGTTTATCTTGGCTTTCAAGTTTGAATAGATTAATTCTTTCAGAAATTTGTTAACAAAGACATAAACATAAACAAAGACAAACATGACAGTCCTTTCTTACAGAAAAATGTTCATCTGCTATTCTATCCCTTTTGAAGAGTTGAATGAAATATTGTTATTTTAGAGTTAGATGTATTTCAATTTTTTTGTTCTGCTGCCATATTGGATGAATTGTTTTGTGTTTAAAGTAATATGAGACATTTGTTAAACGAGACAGAAAAAATTTAGTCTTTTTGGATGGAAGGTATTATCATTCAGTAGTAGTAAAATTTGAATTTGTAAAAATTACTTTTGGTAATGCAAACAGAAAAGTTTATTACAGTAGAACCTCGAAAACTCGGCTCTCGATAACCCGGCCACACCCTGGCAGGGCAAAAAAATCCTTAGTTAATTAATTTTCATTATAGACAGCTTTATAAAAGTATAAAAGCTCTCATAAAGTATTTTTCTGAGGTCTGTCTTATCAGGTAAATTACTGTACACAGTGTATTCATTAATTTTCATTTTCATGTAGTAAAGGCTCTATGCCTTCATAAAGGACGTACTTTTCCTTTGTTTAAGGGTATTTGGGCAGTTTATTTTCTGTTATATTCTCAAGTAAACAATACATACAAGTACAGTATAGTATTTTCTGAGGAAACACTCGTACTTATTTTTTTAACCCCATTCCTGATAACCCGGCATTTTCACAAACTCGGCCACCCTTCGGTCCACATTAGGCCGAGTTTTCGAGGTTCTACTGTACTAAATTGTCTTGTAATCAATTTCAAATGAATAAGTTTAAAAAAATTGAATGAAGTTTTTTTTTTCTTTTCAAAATAAATGTTGACTCTCCTTCCAGGTTCCTTGTTTATGTAGTTTGTGAAAACTGTGGCTATATTGAGAACTACATATTGGCTTATTCTAGAAATTGTTGTATATTATACATTACTTTGTTTAAATCTGAAAAAAAAACCTGAAATGTTTCAAAGAACATTTCAGGTTCTTTTCAGCTTGAAATAAAAAATGAATGTTTTCATTTTTGATTTCAAACTGATAATAAAATAAATTTATTTAGTACACATAGTTCAGGAACTAAATTTCAGGAATCCTCCTTATTTCTGAGAAATGTCCATTTGGAAGAACCTGCTGCCTCTTCATGCCAGCAGGATCTCCCAAATGGCACGAACAGGCATATTCTTAATTACAATAGCTTGTAAAAGTATAAAATTAAAACAAAAGTGCAAAAAAAATGAAGATAATCTGTAAAATTTATGTTAATTATTTTAGCCTTAAACAAGGTACAAAACAAGATCCAAAGTAAACAAGGATACAAACAGATAGTAATCCCATGGTATATAACATTACTTAGCAGATGTAAATAAAATAAAAAATAAAATAAATTTATGTTAATTATTTTTGCCTTAAACAAGGTACNAAAAAATTTATATCTGATTACATTTTTTATTGTTTATTAACAATTTTTTCTATAAAATTTGTAAAATTTATTGAATTTAAACTATTGTAACAGATTACACTATTATCAACAGAGGTGAGTACCAATGTTCTATTATTTTCTTTGTTAATCAAACGTCTTAAATTCTTTATCTGAATGAGCCATAGCTACTAGTCCTATCAAATAAATACAGTAAATAGCCAAAATGCTTATGAATAGACCATAAAATTGATAATGGAAGTAGGATACACACTTTTACAAGTAACCCCCAAAATCCCTCTCCTTCTCGGAAAGGGGGCATGTCCCTCTCATTTTAAAACAAATTTTAGACCTTGAAGTCATACATATAAAAATAATCCTGTAAGAATACAATCAAATAAAAAATAGAATATAGAATTAATAAAATTGAATTGTATTTCACAATATTCATATTCTTTTCAGAATGCTATGAAACAATAACTTTTTAAAACTAAAGAAAATTGAGACAATTTTTAAAAGATTTCTGAAACATTTATAAAGTTAAAAATTGTACTGCATTAGTCTTTTGATCTAAGTTAACCTTTCAAAAGTGGAATAGTCAGGTATGGTGCTACCCCTTAGTAGCGGAGAATAAATGTGCAAAATTTTTAGAGTATTTTTCCACACGTTTTTTCTCATTACTGTTTTGGAAAAAGATTTTGTAAACAGTTATGTCTACTAAAGAAAAGTCTTTCTTTATTGTTACATAATTCATTTTTTATGTTAATTTTATTTTCATAGTAGTTTTAGGATAGTTTTTGGTGATAACCCCAAAAGAATTTGACATATATATTTGTCCCTCACCACTGCCACACAATTGCCCTTGATGAATACATTCATCGCTCAATGCTGAATGGTTAATAAGATGAAACTTAACAGATGATTAGTTAATATTTCAAAAAATGCATTATTAAAGCTAAAAATGATCATGGATAAGAAAAATAAACCACCATTAAAAACTCCAAAGGCTGGTCTTCATCCAAAGAAGGTCATGCTCACCATTATGTGGGATTGGAAAGGAATCCTGTACTACGAGCTGCTTCCACAGAATCAAACAATTGATTCTGATAAGTATTGTTCCCAATTGGATAAACTGAATATGGCAATTAAAGAAAAATGTCCAAAACTGGCCAATAGAAAAGGCATTGTGTTTCACCAAGATAATGCCAAACTGCACACATCTTTACGAACACACCAAAAATTATTGGAACTGGCTGAGATGTTTTACCCCACCTCCACTTACTCACCCGACCTTGCCCTGTCAGACTACCATTTCTTCTGTTCTTTGCAAAATTCACTTCATGATAAAAACTGATACTTTGGAAACTTGCAAAAACCATGTGGATCAGTTTTTTGTGGGAAAAACTGGAAAGTTCTACAAAGATGGTGTCATGAAGCCCCATAGATGGCAACACGCCATTAAAAACAATGGCTCATACATAATGGAATAAAAGTATATTTTTAGTTTTTTAAAACAGTTTCTTTTATTTTGCTTAAAAATCACTAAGAACTTTCCAAACAAACCAATAGTTACTCTCTAGTCTCTCATGGAAAACAGACTACAATAAAACTTGGAATCCTTACTTTTTCCTCTGATTTCATCTCCTTACCTCCAAACCTTTTAAGCTTTCTGGACAGATTTTACATAGTCTGTATAATCCACCAAAAATACATGCTACTTTAAAACTCACACCCTCAACCTTACTTAAATTATTTCCCACAAATGGCTAAACCCTTTGACTGATTTGCACTATATTTTACACAGTGACTCTTTGCCACCCTGCAGAAACATGTTATAGTAGCTACACTATAACAAGAACAACTCAACTGCCTCAGAGTTCCTGGTAATGCAGGGCATTCTTTGCTAGTTTAAAGATATAATGATATTTAACACATCAACAATATGTATATTTAGTAACAACTCCAGAAAAAAAAAATTCTTGATTAAAGATTTTGTTGAAATTTACTCATTTAGAAGTAACATGCATAATTTCACCAATAGACAGTTTCGAAATAATGAGGTTTTACTGTAAATATATACAGAGATTTGTGGACTAATTTCATATCCCTAAAAATATTTTTCCATTAATAGAAAGAAAAATAACAAGTCTTAATTTTGAATGTTCTATAATAGCAGTTCACAATCTTTGACTTGCGTACCCCCTGGGAGCTCAACTTCTTAAGTTTTATTTTACATATTTGTCAAATAGTGGCTCCTTGGTCAATTATACATAAAAAGTACACGTAAAAAAAGTTTTTTTTTTTTAAAATCAAGAAGCATTGGTGGAAGGACAGAAATAAATATAATTATATTTTTACTTAAAACTAAGCATAGAGTACCATGACGTCACCAAAGCCCTGAATGCAGAATATGAATATTCTTATAATACATTTGCCATTATTAATTTTATTTTTTTTTGTGTACCCCCAAATCACCAAGTGGTATGTGTACCCCAGTTGGGAATCACTATTCTGTAACATAAATATAAGAATCATGAACCCTGGAGAGAAGCAATTGGGTGATGGGTCTTGTAAGTCTTAACAGACAGCTTGAAAAATAAAAAAAATTAAAGGAAAAAAATATATATTGAATACATATTTCTGAATTTTATAGCTGATCATAATTTACTTATCATATTTAGTTTATTGTTTTAGACCTATTATCTGTAATCAGTTTTGATTATTTTCACACTTACAAAAAAATGAAGCTCTGAAACTAAGATAATTGCAGTATAGATTCATAATTATGAAATTTTTCCTTCAAAGATTATTTATATTTTGTTATGTTATAAAAATGATAATATTTCTGACTTGAAGTATTTTATGTTTAAAGTTATATTGAACCAATAAAAACTAAAAATAATAAGTTCTCTTATGTTAAATATATAAAAATAAACATTATTTATACAGTAGAGCGTCGTTTACCCGAAGGAATTCCAGTCGACAAATTTAAATTTTTGCCAGTGCTGTAGTGCTGTAATCTTTGGCTATGTCTTCGGCTACTCAAATATTTTATGTTTTTGATACTAAATTAACTTCTGAAGTATAATTTTTTATTTGTTTTATATTTTTCAATATATTTATTTTGTTTGTACAAAATAAAATAATAATTTTTAATGATACAATAGTCTTCATTAGGCTTAACATAGACGAAAATTCAACGCGGAGCAACACGCAACGGAGAAAAATTTCAACACAGGATAAATTAATATATTTTTTCGTACATAATTGGTTATCCGAAAAACCCCAGTCTCCAATTGATTCGGATAAACGACGCTCTACTGTATTATGCACTTTGGCTTTTTCTCCCATTCATCATAGAATCAGGAACTACTGGCAGAATGGTACTCCTGAGAAGAGTAATATTACCTTAAAACAAGAAAAACTGAATTTAGTAAGTTGTTTATCATATCCAAGTTGTAAAAATTTAAAAGCAACAGTAATATACACAATCTCCAAAATCATTGATGTTAAAGTAAGAAAAGGACAGTTATAACAACAAACAATAGTAAAAGAAAAAAATAGAAAGAAAAAAAGAAAAAAGACAAATATAAAAATTTAAGGAATATTTTTGTATTTAATAAATAGATAAAAAAAATAAACTATGTAGCCAACAAATAAATGACTATTAGAGCATAGATGTCATTTGATTTTGAAAATTTTTGGTACAATTTGTGTGTTAGAAGTGTTTACTTGCAAAATTTGAACATGATTATTGAATCTGAAGAGTTGCTTATATTGAAAAACTAGAAAATGTTGCTTTCAGTTGCCTAATGAATAATATAAATAATTGATAAAATTAAAATATTGATAAAAAATGTTAAGTATGAAATTTTGTATCAATCCATTTACTGAAACTTAAGATGCACAACCATCTCTGCAAAAATAATGAAACATTGTAGGGACCACAATTTGTGCTTATCAATTAAAATCTGAACATCCAAAACTTGATTAAATATGATTACAACATCCATATTTTCCTCATTTTGAGCGAGTTTCAGTAGAAACTTGAATTATATGATCTAGGCCAGGGGTCACCAAACTAGGCCAGTGGGTCAGTTTTATCCAGCCCGCCGTCACACTGTGCCCCAAATGAGCTAAAATATAATTATTTATATGGAAATATCATAGATTGAAGACGAACCTATTATGTAGAAAAAATTAAAATAAGCAAGTAGAAATGCCAAAATTGATCCAATCTGATTTTTGCATTTGACAGTAATATAATTTTTAGGAAAACCAGTGAAATGAAAACTTTGGTGACTTTTTGTGACTTTGTATATCAGAGCACTTTGTATGTAAGTATCTGGAATGAAGTTTCTATGAATAGCAATTATGAGCTTGCTGCAGCACCGTGTTTGTGTTTTGGTAAATAAATACACAGTGCGGCAATTAAATTCCGGGACTGAAGATATATGTCAGCAACCAGTACCGACATCTGTTTAAATTTTATGTCAAATGAAGTTTGAACAGATGTCTCTACTAACCTAAAACTTTTATTTAAATCGGTTGACATTTATCATTGTTTTTGATATTTTGTTTATCAGTTTATTTTGTTACATGTTGGCAAGCAATAATGGAACAATGTGCTGTTATTAAATTTCACGCTAAATTTGGTACAAGTGCCACAGAAACGTTCAAAATGATGCAGAAAGTGTATGGAAGTAAGTGTTTATCATCACCCCAAGCCAAGAAAACACGAAAAGTTCCATAAAAATTCAAGACAATGTTCATTGTTTTCTTCGATAGCAAAGGCATCATCCACCGTGAGTTCGTCCCACAGGGTCAAACAGTTACTGCTGCTTTCTACTTGGGAGTTTTACAATGATTAATGGGAAGAATTCGTCGAATTTGACCAGAATATCGCAATTCTGATGACTGGTGTTTGTTACACGATAATGCACCGAGTCACACATCATTGATTGTTCGTCAATTTTTGGCAAAAACAGATTGATGCCAAAAAACGAAATGATTCAACACACAGACTTGATTTCAACGAAATCAAGTCTGTGTGTTGAATCATTTGCCGTATTCCCCCGATTTAGCACCATGTGACTTCTCTTTATTTCCAAAAATGAAAATAAAGTTGAAAGGACGCATTTTTAATGATATTGAAACCATCCAAAGAGAGTCTACGTGCATATTAGAGACAATACCGAAAATTGAGTTTGAGCAGGCATTTGAATCACTATTGAATCGCTGTAAAAAGTGTATTGAAGCATAAGGAGAGTATTTTGAATAATTTAATAAAAAGATTTGAATAAAATTGTTTTGTTTCATTTTTATAGATCCAGTCCCGGAATATAATTGCCGCACTGTGTATGTTGGTTTTCCTTATTTTTTTGTGTATACTATGTTCAGTTACTATATTGAACAAAATGGTTATGCACCTCACACTTGTCATTCTTTCAGTTACCCCGCATTTCTTTATGCAGCACTTTACAGCAAACATACTGAAACTGGTTTCTAATTGGCCAACACTGCTTGTGATGTCATTTCGCTACACTCTTGCTGCATAAAGAGTTGTGGCCTTATCTGGCCAGCTGTGAAAAAAGTTTGGTAACCCTTAATCTAGGCAATAGCTACACTTTGTTTTAAACACCAATTCTCATTAGAATATCAATAAAAAGTAACCTAATTAATATCTGGATTGATGGCCATCGAAGAAAAGTTTGGATATTTTTGCCAATTAAGTGGGATGATGACCAATTAGTAGTTGATGCTCTTTATACAAATTTAAAAACATGTCTATTGGATAATCATACCTTCCTAAATCTGTCACTGTCAGAAACACAATAAGATAGTTCAGACAAATTAAATGGACACTACATAAAAAGTTGAAGAAAACCTTTATAATTATATTTAACAGTAAAATAATATAAATACAGAAACATTACTAAAATTCATTGAAAAAAATTAAAATATATTATATAAAATAAATGTAATCACTATATAAAAAAAATATATATATAGCTACCGCTTATATTCAAAAGAATTACATTTTTGGAAAGAACTTCTACCTTTCTGTCATCCTGTTCACAGTCTCGTGCAATATGCCCTTTATTGCCACAAATGTAACAAGTCTTTTCTTGTTCAGGACAATCTCTTGCCATATGACCATTACGGCCACAATTATAACAAGATACTGAAAATAATAATACATTATATATTTCATTATACACAAATATAAATAAATAATATATTTTTCTATTGGTATATGTAAGTCTAATTGACTAAAATATATCAATATCTACAAATTAAACCAAGTCATAATAATTATTAAGAAATAAATTTTTTATTTCTTAATAGCTATTATGTTTAATAGATGTAAATAAGTGCTAATAGGTATAAATATAACTATAGCTATAGTTTAACACCTATAGTTATATTTACACTTTTAAATCAAAACTTCTTGTTAATGCAATTTAAAAAAGTTAAAAAAACTATGATGAAAAAGAAAACTCCAATCTTATTAAGTGATTCCTAAACATCAATACAAGACATTACAGAAGAATCCAAACTTAATCAGAAATGAAAGAGTTTATCATCCGTACTTACTACACAATCACAAAACTTGAAACAAACATGACAGCACACAGACAACAACTACACCATAGATTCACACAACAATATCCTCATCTCACTGTCACCGAACAAAGGGTTGCTGATCAAATACATCAACAGACAGAAACACTTAACATTAATGAAGATCACATAACCTGTCAGGATAATCCAGCAACAAGCATTGATAATAGCACACATACAACAACTACAACTAATGATACTACAGGCACTTCCTCATCTATCACTGATAACATAGATATAGAATTAGTTAATATGTTCCCACTTATATTTCAGGAAACACTCACTAAATATACAGGCAGAGATCCCACACAAAGACCACGAATACCGAAAATCAACACATCAAAGGTAGTAGGAAAAACATTAAATTATGTAAATACTCACTTACTATCAAACTACATTCATTCAATTTCTACACTCTCATACATTCATACATTAGTTTATGCTGAGGCAGTCACAGTAGTAACACAACATGGACTGAAAATACAATCACAGACAGACACACACAAAACACAATTCTATCACAAGCCTGCCAGGCAGAGAAGAATAGAAACACAAATAAATGACATTAGACAGCAATTAGGCAGGCTGACACAATACACTAAAAACAACATAGCACCCAAATTNTATCACAAGCCTGCCAGGCAGAGAAGAATAGAAACACAAATAAATGACATTAGACAGCAATTAGGCAGGCTGACACAATACACTAAAAACAACATAGCACCCAAATTTCAGTCATTCTACAGCAAGCACACAAACATACACATGGCATATATAGACTACAGAAAAGCATTCCACACAGTTGGCTGCTACATATTCTACACATGTACAAAATACATCCATCACTCATTGCAATCTTCCAAAACACTATGCAGCACTGGAAAACAACACTACATCTCAGGGTTAGTAACACTTCCATACAAACAAACCAAATATTCATTAGGCGAGAAATTTTTCAAGGAGATTCCTTGAGTCTTCTCTGGTACTGCCTAGCCTTGAACCCATTATTCAACATGTTAAACAACATGCAATATGGCCACAATATCAGACATGAAAAAACATCACAGTTTATGCTGTCACATCTCATGTACATGGACAACATAAAACTTTATGCATCCACACAAAAACAAGTTCAGCAGCTCCTACAAATCACACATTCATACACCAAGGACATACAAATGGAGTTTGGCTTAGACAAATGCAAAACATTTCACATAGAAAAAGGAATCCTGAAGAAAGAAGATTTTGCACTTGGAAATGGAGACGTTATTGAATCCATGGAAGAGGGCGAGTTCTACAAGTATTTAGGATTCCAACAGGCCAAACTAACAGAACATACACAAATAAAGCAAAGACTAATTAAAGGATACCAAAGTAGGTTAAATGCTATTCTCAAAACACAGTTAAATGCAAAATACACAGTTAAACCAATAAACACATATGTCATCCCAGTACTCACATACTCTTTTGGAGTTATACATTGGACTCACAGATCTTGAGCAATTCCAGAGGAAAACAAGAACACTTACTAAGCATAAATATCATCCTAAATCTGCCACAGAAAGATTAAGTTAACTCTTCCATGTAAAGATGGCAGACGTGGCATGACTGACATAGCAAACCTTCACTACAAACAAATACAGTCACTGCAAGTTTTTTCTACAGGAAACAAGAAACATCACAGTTACATAAAGCAGTGACTCTAGCAGATTCAAACAACACACCATTAAACTTATACTCACATCATATGGACACACAACACAACATATAAAAAGCATAGACACCATCAAAAAATCGTGAGCTCGAAAGACTCCATGGTAGGCATCCTTATGACCTGGCCCAGGATTTTGTTGACAAAACTGCATCAAACAGCTGGTTAGATCAGGGATGCCTCTTTGGAGAGACTGAAGGATTCATGATTGCCATACAGAATCAAGTCATAAATACTAAAAACTACAGAAAACACATACTCAAAGATACAACACTCACAAATGACACATGCAGAAAATGTCACACCATGCCAGAAACTATACAACACATCACTTCTGGTTGCAAGCTCTTGGCACAGACAGATTACTTACATAGACACAATCAAGTAGCAAATATAATACACCAAGAGCTTGCAAAGAAACACAAATTGGCAGACATCCACGAACCATACTACAAGTATATTCCACAGACAGTATTGGAAAATAACACGCACAAAATGTATTACGACAGAGCCATAATCACAGATAAAACAATTTACCACAACAGACCAGACATCACACTCATTGACAAACACAATAAAATCACATACATTATAGACATAGCCATTCCAAACACTCACAATGTACAAAACACATGCACTGAAAAAATTAGTAAGTACACAGAACTTGCCCAGGAAATAAGATATCTCTGGAGGATGGAAACGATGCTTATTGTACCTGTCGTTCTCTCCTGTACAGGTGTAATACCACACACACTACACAAAAGCCTGGAAACATTACAATTAAATAGAAACACATACATCATACTACAGAAGGCCACTATATTGGATACATGTCATATTGTTAGGAAATTCCTAAATACAGACACTGACACACTATTTAATTTTAGTTTTTGGTTGCTATGCCTTGACTCTGATCCGGCACAGTACACAGCCATCAGTATTAACCAAATATAACCCACTAAACCCAACATAATAATAATAGAGATACTGCATTGAAAGTTTATGAATAAATTAAAGAATACTTTAAATCCTCAATTTTACACAAAATTCATAACATGTCATTTATTTGTGTTAAATATCTCAGATTTTTGTAGCTTTTTATAAAAATCTAGTATTAAAAATGAATTAATATGAAACAGTTTATGGAAAGACTTTGGGGCGTATTCTAATTTTTAAATGTGGAAATTATTACTAGCTGAATTAATTAAGTTTTTCAGTACTATAATTTCTTCTTTAAAACTATGTAAATAGAAACAAATACATTTATAGAAGAATTTGAATATTGTAACAAAGTGTTCAATTGATAATGAATTAATAATAAAAGGGGGAAAAACATCTTATTTTTTCCATTGCTAAATCAATCTATAGTAAAAATTATTTACATTAAATCAAACTAGTATGTAGATCTTCAAAATAGTTAATAATTATGTTGAGAGAGTTTTATTTTTAATAATTTACCATGTTAATTTAAATAATTTAAAGAAAGTATCTTACATCTTGGAGAAGAACGAAAGTCACTTCCTCCACCTCTATATCCTCTATTTCCTCGAGAGCCTCTACGATCATCACCATGTGGGCATTCACGAGCAAAATGGCCAGGTTTATTGCATTTGAAGCATTTATTTGAACTCATGGTTTTATCTGAAAATGAGAAATTTATTATCAAACTTTATAAATTCACTTGTAATATTTGTTTTGTAGAATTTTTTCCATTCTTTATATTTTTCATATCAATGTCATTCCAAAGCAAAATGTATTCAAAAATGTTTTTCATCAGAAATCATTTTATGCTGAAATATACACTGTTTATTATTTTTTTCCAACTGTTTTGAAATTCAGAATTTATTGTTGAGATTTCCCAATTATAACAATTCTCACTTTAATCATTCAATATCACTTTCATATATTATTAAATGTATTAGGAGTAATTCACATATTTCAAAATTACACTTTAGTTCTATGCAGAATTTTCAATATTTATATCCAGGAGATTGCACAAATCTTCTGTACATTTATTTTATAGCTATACCTGGCTAAATGTTCCTTTTAAAACAATTTTCTACATTATTTTAAATATAATACATATTATACTTAAACTGATTTGCATACTCTTTGAATCAACAAAACGATTTCATTGAAACACATCAGATTTCAATTCTAAACATATCAAGTTACAAAACTCACTCATTAGCAGCTGCTCCATTTTTGAAGCAACATGAAACTGATTTTTTAGGTTATTATTACAAATTGGATACATGAGAAAGTACATATCTTATATCATTTTATTTTATACCATTCTTGCCATACTTTTGAATAATAAATTTTTTATATTGTTAATAATAATTGCAATATATCATTTCAATAGTTCTCTTTTCTGATATTTTTAAAATAAAATGCAGATAATTGAAAGAACAGAGAAGAAAACAATCCATTCATACCAGCATTGTAATTAAAGAACTGTTCTTCTTTTTACATGCACTTTAAAAAAATTTTATCATTGAAAATTTGAATATGAATGGCAATTCTGAAAAAAACAATATGAAAATATTAGCAATCCAATGCATATATAAAGTTATGAATTTCATTTTGATCAATACATTTATTATATTTATTTCAAAGAGCAATAAAAGAAAAATATTAAAATTCAAAATGTTAGAGATTTGCACTAGAAGTAGGCTAAACAGAAATCCTAATAATATCTATATCCTTGATATAATAATGCTGATAGTAAATTTTTTTTATTCCACAAATTTCTCAGCAATAAACAGGATATTTAGTCAAATCTTACATATTTATAATATAGTTTAAATCAAAGAAAAAGAGAAGTTGTGACTTTTCAACACACTTTTTTGTCTTTTATACACAATAACAACCAAATTTAAAAATTCAAAGAATAAACTATTTTATGAAAATTCTTTCTCTAATGTATCAAACAATGATTTTAACTAATTTACAGTTGCTGTGCAAAGTAACAATCACACCCAATCAATCTTAAAATGCAGCAAAAGTTTAATTACTAAAACATTTTCAATTGTTTTAAATGACCCATCCTCAATGATTTTAGCACAGAAAAGGTATCATTGAAAATTTTTTTTAATTATATTGTTGACAAACTATTTTCCCAATTTGCTACAATAATTTTATAGATGAATAATCAAAATTGGCAGTGGAATTTCTTACACAATTGTTCTTTTGTAATATGTGTAAATAGATACAAATTTGCCAAATCAATAAAATGTAGCTAATCAATATTCTAATTCATACATAGCTGTAAAAAATAATAATAATAATATATATATAGCTTATAAAAATTGTTAAAATTCACAGAGAGAAAATATTGAAATATATATAATTGATCAAAATGAAAAACATAAAAGTTACTTTTATGTATTAGTATTTTAGTATTTTTGATGACTACTGATATACAATAACTAAAAATAAAATATTAAAAAATTTTACACACCTGAACCATTTACGGTGTGATCATGCAAAAGATAATTTTTTTAAGTATTAATTTTTTAGTAATTCTGGTGTGATAAGTAGTGAGTTTTTTGTAAAATATTTAAAAAGTTAAGATAAAAATAGTTCCTTGTTTCGAAACAACTTTTAAAATTTCATCTAAAAGAAATAAGAATTTAGATATGACTGGAGGTATCCAAAAATTCTCAATGAGATAAGTCTATCATTGACAAAATTGTCAACCTAATCAATACAGCAGGACTAAGAGATGCAGATGATCAGGATATTGAGGAGTTACTGCAGGTTTCTGGTGAGAGCCTTACCAATGGCCACCTTCAAAAACTGGCAGAACAAAGAATTCATCTAGAACTGGAAAATAGTGATTTTGAAAACAAAGAACTTGCTACATATTTCCTTAGTAAAAGTTTGATATTGATAACTGAAATCGGTGATTAAAATGATCCAGATCTTGAAAGGAGTGCAAAAGCAACACTAGGAAATTTGAATACAATCTCCTGCTACTGACATTTGCTTAATGAAAGAAAAAGAAAACAACAAATGACACTAGACAACTTCATCACCCCCAAAAATAAAATTTTTTAGAAGAGTCAAAGCCAAGACCATCATAAAATGAATTTTATATTTCTGTGTGCATATGTTTGTATGTTATGTAACATATACTATTGTGCAAATTAATATGAAAATAACTTTAATAGTAAAATTTGTTTATTTTTGGTCAAATGTTCTCCTTTCCCTATTTACTATATGTTAAAATGACCTTGTTTAACACTGTTCCATTTACTGCTTTGATATCAGAAATGCATCCTGAGCACTAAATGAGATCTTACTGTTTAAGAATTTATAATATACTTAAGATTTACAATAAAAATTGCCAGGATTATTTCACATTTAGAAAAAATATATTTCTTATTAGACTATACATACAAATGAGTCCAAATCCTTCAGTCCTTTCACACACTTGTAGAGGTATTAACAGGTGTGAAAGGACTGAAGGATTTGGACTCATTTGTATGTATAGTCTAACAAGAAATATATATTTTTCAAAATACTTAAGATTTCTTTTTCATTTTTCAGATTTAAATGTCATTGCCTTACATCATTCCATTAGAATAATGTCGGTCCATTTTCTCTCTTACAATCAATAAATAAAGTGACAACTACAGATTTTATTGGATGACATCTATCATTTATCTAATCTCTCAAAAATTTTAATAGAATATTTATTGAATATTATATGTTTTAGTGATTCATTTAAAAATACAATTTTAAATCTCTCCCAGTTTCATCCATGACAATCACTGGCTTTTTATCCACTGGAAACTGAAAAAAAAATTTACACATTTTTCTTTCTAAATAATGACTCCACTGATATGAAAACTACATTAACATAGCATACCTTCCACTAAAAAATTTTGCAAATGTAAGAATTAAACAAGTAAAATGGCAAAACAGTACTTGGGACAAGACTATGTCTCAGAGATGAAATCACTTTGATACGCAAAGCAGGTCTCGCGTTCTTATTCTCCTATCTTCTTTGATATCGCTGCTTTTGGGCGTAATTGTTCAAACTTTGATGGCCACGACCACGAGATCGTCCACGATGCATCTTTGATAAAATTAACCTATCTAATTTCAAAATTTCTCTCAGTTGTGTGTCGGCCCAGGTTGAATTTTTGACGATGCATAACGAAAAGTTCCCATTTTTGAAAAAAATAACCATGGCTATTGTATCGTCCTAAATTATTTTTTTATTTTGCACAAACAATATACAGTTTAACAGTTTATAATGTCATCGAATGTAATGACAATCCTATAGGATTGGCAACTAAGTGATTGCGGATTTTGTCAATAGGTGGCCTTAGCATATTTTTTTGCTTTGTCATTGTGTTCAAAGCATTTAACCTGTATTGTTTTCTTGTTGTTTGGACTTCCACCTTTAATTTAGTAAAAAATTGTATCGATTAGTTATTTAGTTTTGTTTTTTCCTAATTTAAAAATGGAAGAACAAGACGTGCATTTCAGACATATTTTATTGTATTATTTCCGAAAAGGCAAAAATGCATCACAAGCACACAAGAAGTTANATTCATTTAAAAATACAATTTTAAATCTCTCCCAGTTTCATCCATGACAATCACTGGCTTTTTATCCACTGGAAACTGAAAAAAAAATTTACACATTTTTCTTTCTAAATAATGACTCCACTGATATGAAAACTACATTAACATAGCATACCTTCCACTAAAAAATTTTGCAAATGTAAGAATTAAACAAGTAAAATGGCAAAACAGTACTTGGGACAAGACTATGTCTCAGAGATGAAATCACTTTGATACGCAAAGCAGGTCTCGCGTTCTTATTCTCCTATCTTCTTTGATATCGCTGCTTTTGGGCGTAATTGTTCAAACTTTGATGGCCACGACCACGAGATCGTCCACGATGCATCTTTGAAAAAATTAACCTATCTAATTTCAAAATTTCTCTCAGTTGTGTGTCGGCCCAGGTTGAATTTTTGACGATGCATAACGAAAAGTTCCCATTTTTGAAAAAAATAACCATGGCTATTGTATCGTCCTAAATTATTTTTTTATTTTGCACAAACAATATACAGTTTAACAGTTTATAATGTCATCGAATGTAATGACAATCCTATAGGATTGGCAACTAAGTGATTGCGGATTTTGTCAATAGGTGGCCTTAGCATATTTTTTTGCTTTGTCATTGTGTTCAAAGCATTTAACCTGTATTGTTTTCTTGTTGTTTGGACTTCCACCTTTAATTTAGTAAAAAATTGTATCGATTAGTTATTTAGTTTTGTTTTTTCCTAATTTAAAAATGGAAGAACAAGACGTGCATTTCAGACATATTTTATTGTATTATTTCCGAAAAGGCAAAAATGCATCACAAGCACACAAGAAGTTACGTGCCATATATGGGAATGAAGCCTTGAAAGAAAGGCAGTGTCAAAATTGGTTTGCCAAATTTCGTTCTGGTGACTTTTCTCTGAAAAATGCTCAACAATCTGGCCGTCCAGTTGAAGTTGATGAGACCCATATCAAGGCCATTATCGATTCAGATCGTCATAGCACAATGTGTGAGATTGCACAGAAGCTCAATGTATCACATACATGCATTCAAAAAAAATTAAAACAGCTTGGCTATGTCAAGAAACTGGATTTATGGGTCCCTCATCA